CACTGATGACAGCACGGTGCGAAGAGCATCTGAAAATCATGTTCACAGTACTTCCTTCCTTCAAACTGAAAGAGAAAGCAGCATCTACTTCTAAATCTGCAGCACTCACAGGAGGATGGCTATTCTATGGAGACACAGCAAAGTGTTTTGGAACAAAGAACTTTGCCCTATGAGTTCGTAATTCTACCAGCGTGTTTTGTTGTTGTTCTTTTGTTTTTTTGGATATTTGGTTTTGTTTTGTTTTAAATGATTATTTATTTCATTTTATTTATTCATTCATTTATTTTAATTTGACCAGAGAGAGAGACACAAAGAGAGAGAGAGGGAGGGAAAGGGAGAAAGGAAATCACCAGGCCCAGGACTTGAACCGTGGTCAGCCATGTGGGAGTATCCAGCACCTTAACCACCACATCACCTGCTGGTCCCATGTTTTGTTTTGTTTTTGCTATAGGGCGCATGTGCTTGCCAGAAAGTGAGAGAAATCACCTCCCAAGGAGACGACCGTGCCACGATTCTTTCTCTCCTGTTCTCCTCTCAGGATTTTGGGCAAGTATGCACACATGCCCGGTGTGTTTTTCAAGCTCCTGGGTCCGGGATTCAAACCATGGAGTTGGTCATGTGGGATCTAGTCACCTTACCACCATACCACCTGGTGGCCCAGTGTTCATCAGATTCGTACAGTGTGAGAGAGATATGTAATTAAGCACAGTCAGAGAGGCCAGCCTGCCGCTGGGGTGAGACTGGAATCGCCCTAGCTTCAGCTTGTTCAGTGTATGGGTCCTGTCGCAACACATGGGGGTAGGGAAGGTACAAAGTATACCTGCTTTAATAGAGGGGCCAGCAGGTGGTGTGGAGGGTAAGGTGGCTGGATCCCACATAGCCAACTCTTCGGTTTGATTCTCAGACCCAGCAGCTTGAAAATCATACCAGGTGGGTGTGCATGCATGCCCAAAATCCCAAGAGGAGAATGGAGAAGGGGGTACTGTGGCCTGGCTAATCCCCTGGGGGGAGGGTGATTTCTCACTTTCCCTCTCTTTTTTTCTCTCTCTCTAGTGAGCACATGTGCCCTTTGGCAAAAAATCTTAAATTTAAAAAAAGAATCTCATTAAAGCTATGGACTCCTCTCCCTATAAAATATACAAAGTGTACTAACCCCTTCCCACATTTTTAAGGTGGATATCTAAAATTTTTCACTGTAGTCTTCCACGATCATGGTGCCACTACAACTGGTGACCAGCATTTTTCTAAATTCAAAGACTTACTTATTTTATTATTTATCTCAATTATCATGTTTTTAGTTTTGACCAAAGAGAGAAGGAGGGAAAGTGAGAAAGCAAGTCTGGGTCCTGGACTCGAACCACAGTTGGCCATGGGTGAGTCCGGCACCTTAACTGTCATCATATCCTGCTGGCTCCAGTGTCTAGCATTTTTTTCAATTTCATTTTATTCATGATACAGACTCTGTGTAAGAAGGAGGGACACAAGCAACCGTAACAGGGTCTTGTCACACTACAATCCCATCTGCAGCACTCAGGACCCTGACCCATGTAGACACACACTGTCACACTGCAATCCCGTCTGCAGTACTCCAGTCAGCCAGGACCCTGACCCATGTAGACACACACACTGTCACACTGCAATCCCGTCTGCAGTACTCCAGTCAGCCAGGACCCTGACCCATGTAGACACACACTGTCACACTGCAATCCCGTCTGCAGAACTCCAGTCAGCCAGGACCCTGACCCATGTACAGATACGCACACTATGTGTTATTTTATTTTATTTTTTTTTTGGAGATGTTTTTCACTATAGGGTGCATGCACTCGCCAGACTGACAGAGAGAGATATAGAGACAGAAAGCGAGAAATCACCCACCAGGGGGGATGGTCACGTCGCAATCCCTTTTCCTCCATTCTCCTCTCTGGATCTTGGGCATGCTCGCACACGGCGTGAGTTTTAAGCCACCGGGTCTGAGACGTGAACCGCGGCAGACTACGTGGGAGTCCAGCGACATAGCCATTACACTATGTGTTTTTCAAGCCAACCTGAGATCTGAACTTAGAGCCAACCATGTGGCTTCTAGCACTGCAGTTCAGTTTACTACTGAGGGTATCACCAGGTGAGGCCTGGCCTCTAGTATATTTTTATATTAACATTTCAAAATGACCAAAATCCAGGGACAAGAAGATGGCGTAATGATTTCATTGCTGCACTTACACATGGCTAACGGTGGTTCAAGTCCCAGACCAGTGGCTTGAAATGCACACCGGGTGAGTGTGCATGCATGCCTAAAATCCTGAGAAGAGTGGCAGAAAAGGGATTTTGGCAAAGGGATGTGACTTCTCACTTTCTGCCTCTTTGTCTCTCCCTCTCTCCTTCCCTCTCTCTCTCTCCTCAGTGAGCACACACACCAAATAGCAAAAATCTCTCTACAAAAAAAAAAAACAAAAACAGGGGAACCAGCAGTTAGCATAAGGGCTATGTCACTGGACTCCCACGTAGTCGACCACGGTTCACATCCCGGACCCGGTGGCTTAAAACTTGTGCGTGCCCAAGATCCCGAGAGGAGAATGTAGGAGAAGGGATTGCGACGTGACCATCCTCCCTAGGGGGGTGATTTCTTGCTTTCTGTCTCTATGTCTCTCTCTGTCTGGCGAGCGCATGCGCCCTATAACAAAAATGTCTCTATGAAACCTGGACCTGACAGCTTGCTTTCTAATCCCCTCTCCCCCCATCTCTGTCACTCTGTCCCTCTCCAGTCAAATTAAAATAAATAAAATAAATAAATAAAGTTAAATAAAATAATTCTTTAAAAATAAAATGACCAAAATCCATTTTAAAAAATAGTACATGTCAACAGTTGGGTAATTTTACATCCTTCATTTCTCTTCTTGAACTGTTTTCATTTAATTTCCTCTAATTTTATCCTTGTATATGTTTCTTAATTTGCCAGAGACACACATGCTACCAGAGACAGAGAGAGGGGAAGAGGCAGAAAGCATCCCTAATGGGACACTGGTCACACCACAATCTCTTCTCCTCTATTTCTCCCTTCTGTTGGGATTTTGGGCATTGCATGCTCAGGAACCTGGTGTGTTTTTTCCAGCTACCAAGTCCAGGACTTGAACCACATGGCTGGCCCATGGAATCTGGCTCTCTTAGTGACCGGGGCTGGCCCTATCCCAGTGTATTATTAAACTTAGGTCTTTACTGACCACTTCATAGTTCTTAGCAGTTACAAATGCATAGAGAATGGGACCAACAGATGTGGTAATGGATATGTTGCTGGATTCCCACATACTTTACCGCGATTCAAGTCCTGGACCTGGAGGCTTAAAACTCATGCCGGGCACATGTGCACGCACGCCCAAGATCCTGAGAGGAGAAGAGGAGAAGGGATTATGCGTGGCCTTCTGCCCTGGGGGGGTGATTTAGCATTTTCTGTTTCTCCAGTGAATGCATGTGCCCTATAGGAGAAATCTCTCTCAAAGGAAAAAATATATAACACAAAATTTTCAAATGTGTTTCATTTTCAAATGTGTTTCATTTAGAATCCATAAGGCTCTAAAAACTAGTGGTTTTCTTCTGTAATATCATTACACTGAATATTACATCATAATCAAGGTTATAAATATATACATTGTTATATATAATATACATTGTTAACATATACATATGCTATATAATTTTTCGTTTTACTATTGGTTTACTTAGAAAACATATTGTTACGAGGTAAGTAGGGCTGTTCTTTCCATCACAATCTTATTTCCCTTTTCCCTGGATAAATACTACTTACCATTAAAGAGTCATGGTTCAATGTTCATTCTAGGTCTCTTTTCTATTTTGGGTGTTGATTTTTTTTTAAGGTTTATGTGCTGGGCCAGCCCAATGGTGTGGTAGTTAAGGCAGCTGTACCCCACCCACATGGCTGACCCCATGGTTCAAGTCCTGAAAGATACGCCAGGCACATGTGCGTGTGTGCTCAAAATCCTGAAAGAAGGGAGGACTGGAGGAAAAAGGATCGAAACATGACTATTCTTAGGGGGTGCTTTCCCACTTTCTCTATCTCTGTCTTTCGACCAAACGCACATGCCTTCTGGCATATTTAGGGGGAAAAAAAAGATAAGATTTATGTGCTAATGTTTCCCAGAAATAAACCACAGAAATTTTTATACTAATATCATTTCAGTCTTTGAGTTCCTTAAAAAGTTAAATGCCGGGACCAGCAGTTGGCGTAATGGTTATGTCACTGGACTCCCATGTAGTCGACCACGGTTCGAGTCCTGGACCCAGTGGCTTAAAATCACGCCAGGTGCGTGTGCGTGTGTGCCCAAGATCCTGAGAGGAGAATGGATTGTGGCACGGCCATCCCCTCTGGGGTGTGGTTTCTCACTTTCTATCTGTCTGTCTGTCTTTCTGGCAAGCGCATGCACCCTATAGCAAAAATCTCTTAAAAAAAAAAGTTAAATGCCAAAAATCTCATACTATTCCATTAATAAAATCCATTTTCTAATGACGTATCAGTTGTCAACCCAATTTTTGATCATAACTGTACCTGTAGCCCATTCGATTTATTTATTTATTTTCAAATCACCAGAAGCTGTGTATGCTCACCAAATAGAGACAGAGTAAGAGAAAGCAACTTCTCCAGAGTGGAGCGCGATCCACCACGCCTCCTTCCATTTCTCCATCCAGCCATGATTTGGGGCACAAGCAGCCGGGACTTGAACCGCAGTCAGCTATGTGGCATCCAGTTCCCCACGCCCAGCACTTCACCACCGCTCTATGGCGCCAGCCCTAGCCCACCCAACTTAGTGAACTTACCCACCACAGCTTAATAGTTAAAGTCGGTTCTCACTGTCAAATCAGCCAAAGCAGATTTATTCGTAGCCAAAAACAGTCAATTTTTTACGTAATTTTTAAAATTCAAATGAGTAAGCCCTAATGTGCCCATTTTTGTAAGTTTAATAGCATAAGATAACACATCGATGTGCTATTACTCACTATTTGGTCATAATACCTTGTAATATATAGTCAATACTAGGAGTTATTGTGAAGTGAGATA